ATCAAGCATCGGATGACGAAAAATGCTTGACCTTCGCAGATCTTCTCGCTGGATCCGCGAAGAACTGGTATCGCCAGCTGAGTAGATTGACTCGCAACAAATGGAGTGACCTATTGCGAAGTTTCCAGATCCAGTACTGCGGACTTGGAGTATCGGTAGCAAGGTAATACTACCATACGCGACGTAGATCCGATGAGTCGCCGTTAGATTACTTGTATCGGCTCAATGTGGCGGGACTCTGTGCGAGATTGAAGATCAAGGATGGCAACGCGAAGGAACGACGCGAACATGTTGATCATGACATCGAGACGCTCGAGGATCAAGATCTGGCAGAGAGGTTAACCTTGCTGCGTTTGACTGACGCGGACGATCTTGTAGAAGTCCTTCGCGCTCGGGATCGCGCTAAGAATCGTCAACAGAAGGCCGCGTTTGGATCCAGCAAGTACCGGCAAAAGTCTACCAATTTCACCCCGTCCGCTCCAGCGAAACAAGTGCGCACGATACAGATCCAAGCTAACGACTCCGGATGTGACAGCGAATCTGATAGATCGGGCGGATCTGACTCCGACGTTGACAGTCATCGCAAGATCTTCCTTGCAGCGAGCGAAGAAGTTACCCGAAAATAGAGAAAGAGTCGGTGAGCCTGGATCCACGACTTCCAGATCACGATCAGGGCCATCAAGATCATAACCGGAAGATCCATGGTAATGGGTTTAACCGCGATCGGTGGTCACACTGCGGATCCAGAAAGCACTCGGATCTTGGTTGCTGGGGGCGTGTTACGTGCACGAGGTGTGGCAAAAGAGGACATCCCTCGGATCACTGCCTCTTCGTGTGTCGCGGATGTGGAGAACTGCATGACATGGGAAAATGTCCGATGAAAGAGTTCTATAACCAGATCCGCCAGTAGTTTAACCCCACGAAGCACATGGGTATGCTACCCGAAGCTGCTGAGAAGATGTTAAACTAGGACGCTCGTCGGGGTGGAATCCGATACGAGCCGAGCGTTCTAGATACTGCATCTAGATGTGGAGAACTGCATGGCATGGGAAAATGTCCGATGGAAGAGTTCTATAACCAGATCCGTCAGTGGTTTAATCCCACGAAGCACATGGGTATGCTACCCGAAGCTGCTGAGAAGATGTTAAACTAGGACGCTCGTCGGGGTGGAATCCGATACGAGCCAAGCGTTCTAGATACTGCATCTATGCATTTCTGAACAAGACATCAGTAGATCAGGTTAGTAAAAGACCACATCTACATGGTAATACATGTGATATGCATGGGAAACGCACTTTCGCAATTTTAAGTCTTCGCCAAGTCGACGACTATGCCAGATCCGAAGTCACCATGAACGTGGATCCCCAACCAGAAGAGTCACGAGGTTATTGGAGACAGCGGGATCCAGATCTATGGTTCAAACCCACATATCACGAGGTTACTTCGAAGATCAAGAGAGCTAGTGAGATCGCGGAGTACCAACGGCCAGCAATCATGGGTCTACTACCGGGAGAGTCTCGCAGTTACTGCAAGCATCATTCTCCAGGTAAATGGGTTCGCCAGGCCAAGATCACAGGCAAGATCCACAATGAGAAAACGATCTTTCTTGTAGATACCGGCGCCGCGGTGTCCATCGTGGACACCACCTTTGCTAGTAATGTTCGGTGCTATATCGACTCAGTCAGATCCAGGACTGCGTGGGAATTGGCAACAATGTGTAACGGACAGAATGCAGAACCCGGATCAAGGTGACTCTCGCTGGATCATTGGTATATTTCTTCGATACTTGGGTTGGTAATCTGACTGGCCAACAAGCTATACTTGGTATAGACTTCTTGGTTCCAGCCGGTATCCGCCTGGATCTGGCCCACGGATCGATCAGCTTGCCGGATGAAGTCCGGATCCAGCTTAGCGGGGACCGGCAGCTCTATAGCGACAAGACGAACGTCGTAAATGTCAGCCAATATCTTCGGATCCAAGGAGGAGAGTCGGTGGAACTGCCGTTGCGCCTGAGGCCGTCGATCCACGATAAGCTATGGGTCACACGTGGGGATCCATGGGTTCCCACAATATCCGACGGACCAGCCAGGACAAAGTATGTCTCGATCACCAACCTCGGGGACGAGGTATTGACCATGCACCACGACCAACGGATCGGGATCTGGCTGGCCGGCCACCATGTGCCGCGACTGCCGGGTTTTATCTCGATCGGGTCGCGTCGTTACATGGAGTGGCAGAATCTAGCGTTGGAAGGCTCAACAGACACCCGATCCGATGAAATGGAGGCTAAGATCCCGCTGGTCCTGCGGTGGAGCAGGCCGAGTACGAAGCTCCACGCATGATACTCCAAAGACCGAAGACGACGTTGATCCAGCGTCGGAAGGTCGAGGCGAGTCAGGATCAAGATTTTCCTGACTGCCCACCCTCGGACGAGTCGCCGTCGGACAAATCGCCGTCGGACAAATCGCCGTAGGAGATTCGCCCGTTGAATCTAGCGTCTGTCGCAGGTGAGGAGTCGGATCTGTCGTCTATATCGCAGACGGTAACGGTCAAGGAGGCGCTAGCAGATCTCGATCAAGTGACGTCAGACATGTGGGCGACTAATCCGCCGTTGGAAGAAACTACAGACGTAGGGGAAACGCGAGAAGAGGATGACCGAGATGAAATTGAGGGCGTCAGTCAGGATCAACCACATTCGAGAGGCCAAGACCAAGGAAAATCGCCATCGAAATGCGGCGGATCGGATCTGCCATCAATGATGAGGATACAAACTGGGACAGGGTATGTGACCGGTGATCCATTGAACGACAGGTGCGCCACATCTATGTCGCAACAAACGAGCATGGATCCATCACCTGTTGTTGAAGATCGACCAGGTGCATCGGATCTGGACCTCACCTGGGACTCAGATCCAGATTACGATGAATGTGTATACTACCATGAAGGAAGTGATCTGTACGCCGAAGACGTCGATGGTCAGTGGCGGTACTGCCGGAAGTGCCTGTGACGACGGAAGATGTGAGGATCAAGGACATTCAACTATGTAGATCTGATGATCAGACCCCAGAAGAAATTGATCGACTCCGCCAAAGGATCTGGAAGTTCCGACATCTCTTGATCGGCAAGGGGAATGTCCTTCCGCCGCCTGCTAGAGGTGTGGTGTGCGATATCGATGTCGGGGGAGCGAGACCTATCGCCCTCAAGTGTCGTAAGTTGCGGATCCAGTTCAGGGAGAAGTTGGCGGACTTGATCAAGGGTCTATTGTCTGCCAAGATGATCAATTACTCTAGATCACCATGGGCCTCCCCGATCGTGGTGATCATCAAGAAGAATGGAGTGGATATCAGGCTATGCATTGATTATCGGCTGGTTAATACCCTAACGCAGCTGATGATCTACCCAATGCCCTTGATCAACGACTTACTGGAAGATCTAGAGTCGACATTTTTGTTCTGTCCTTTGGATATGGAGATTGGATTTTGAGTAGTGAAAATGACGGATCGCTCTCGTCTGATCTCGGCTTTTATCAAGCCATTTGGGTTATTTGAATGGAATCGAATGCCTTTTGGTTTGAAGAATGCGCCCCAGATCTAACAACGTATGATCGACAACGCGCTATATGGATCCACCCGGATCCCGAAGTCCGAAGATCGCGGAAGTAATCTGGATGTGTTTGAAGATGGGGAACCGGTAGATCCAGGCAAGCCATCGGTGCTTGGTCGCAGAGCATATATCGATGACATTCTGATCCCCGCCAACTACTGGAATCAACTATGTGATCGAGGCGAAGGTTTACTCAAAGCGTGCGATGAGTGGAATTTGTCGATCAGTGTGGTTAAGAGTTTCTGGGGAATGCCTAAGGTGGAATATCTCGGGCATAGGGTCTCTCACAATGGACTGGAGGCGAATCCGAAAGATCTGTCTGCGTTGACTGATCTAGCATTTCCAGGGTCACTCAGAGCTATGCAGTCATTTTTGGGAAGTCTGAACTATTATAGCCGATTTATCGAAGACAACGCGATCTATGTGTCGGTTCTGTATGAATTGCGAGAAATCGACTTTGTTGCGATGATGAAGGAAGCTACCCAAGTGCGGATCCAACAAGTACTGGAAGAGGAGAAGGTGGATCAAGGATCGCAGGAAAATCAGGGTGTCGACCACCGAAAGACCTTAGATCTGGAGACGCCAGATCCTACTGAGGTGGATCCGTGCTGAATCCATGCCCATCGGTCCTTTGGGGTGCTTAAAACCAGGATTGCTACAACTCCGGTCTTACGACACTTTGACCCAGATCGGAGAGCTACAGTTGTGTTGTATGCTAGCGATTGGGCCATTTCGGGATCATTGATGCAGGAATACGACCAGATCTATTACCCCGTGATGTATGCAAGCCGTACTCTGACGTCGAGTGACCTTAACTATGGCATCGCGAAGAAGGAGGTATTAGCCCTTCAGATGATCCTGGATCTCAACATTGGCGTGGCTCTTCAGATCCACAGCCCTAAAAGGACATCTAGGACAGTGGGCCGCTCTGTTGTCACCCTGGACACTTGAGATCACCAAGTGTGTCAAAGGAGAGGACGAGATCTTAGGAGCGCTGGCGGCCAGTATTTCCCCTAGATCAGAAGTGGATAAGGCATTGATATCAATTGCCCCCAAAAAGGAGCCAAGACGCAAGATCCAAGCTCCGATCCCAACTATTAGACGAGATGAGGAGCTATACGTCGTCAGTTTTGATGGATCGGCCCGTGTCAAGAGAGGTGGAGGCGCCTACAACGCGATCTTGTGGAAGCTGCCCGAATGGACGGTGTTGAAAGCTAGATCAGGGTATGCCGAAGGCTTGACGGTGAATGAGGCGGAATATCATGGGTTGTTGCTATGTCTGGATCTGTTAGAAGATCTGGATTCACGACGTCTGGTGATCTGCGGAGACTCAAACCTGAGAGATCGATTGTAAGGCACCGGGTCTGACACTGTTACGCCAGCGAGCTTTGGATCGACTACGTACTTGGCCAGATCATGAGCTGTTACACGTCAAACGAGACTGGAACGGGAGTGCTGACAGCTTAGCAAGTGCTGCCCTGCAACGGCAATGTGGGATCGAGATAGAGTCTGACATAGAGATCCAGGATCTCATAACCTTAAATCGGTTGGATGAGATCCTGCTAGTGAAAGTCGAAGAGGAGATCGCACAGATATCAGCTGTGACGACCCGATCCAAGGCTAGATCGGGAGTGCGTATTGGATCTGATCCAGACTCCCTACGAGAAAAAGTCGTGAGAGAGCTACGGATCGAGCGAATCCGACAAGCGCAGGACGATGAGTCGTGGATCACGTGCTTGAAGAAGTATCTGGTCGGGGAGATCCGGGATCTGACGCAAGAAGAGGCTAAGATGTTTGGATCTATTGCTATGAATTACGAAGTGGATCAGTTAGATCTACTCTTCTATTGCCCGACGACTAAGGAAATCGCTGCAGATCGAGATAAGTTGATGTGGCTGGTGCTACCTGAGACGCTTCAACAGGACATTTTGCATCACTATCACACGAGTCTACAGGGTAGTCATCAAGGGATTTGTCGCACCTACGATCCGATCCGTGATCACTTCCACTGGAGAGGACTGTACAAGAGTGTACAGCGATACGTGGGGGAATGTGTCGATTGTGAAATAGGCAAAGGACGACCCCGGATCCAGGGCGAGTCACCTGGTAACCTTCAGGCGACATACCCATTCCAGATCATTGCCATGGATCACATATCTTCATTGCCTAGTTCCTTCAATGGCAACAACGAATTGCTGATCTTGGTGGATCTATTCTCGGGATATGTGATCGCCAAAATCAGCGCCTCTAGATCAGCTCAGACAATCGCCGAGACTTACGAAGAATGTGTCTTCGCCGATATGGCGCGGGCTAGGTGATCCGGAATGATTGAGAGCCAGGCTTTATGTCTGACTTATTGAAGTCTTTCAACAAGATCCTGGGACAACGCCAACGGGCTACCATGGCGTATTGACCCCAAGCTAATGGATCTGCAGAACGTATGGTCCAGACAACTACCAGGGCTCTTAAGATGTATGTGGAAGATCTAGATCAGCGAGATTGGGATGAGTATGCTGGGCGACTCACCTTCGCGATCAACACCGCAAGAGATCGGATCCGAGGTGAAACGCCTTTCTACATGATACATTGCTGGGATCCTAGAACCACCTTGGAAGCGGTGGTCCCGGTGGGGAGCACTCGCAGGCATGATCGAGACCCAAGAAGATGGCGATATCGGATGCAAAGGTACTATCAACAAGCTCGAGAACAAGTGAACCTACGTCTACGCGAGGCGATCGCGGATCGGGCCGACACGCATAATGATCTAGTACGTCCTCATCCTGTAGAGTCTGGATCAAGGGTCTGGTTATATCTAGATCGAGTGCGTGAGGGATATGCAAAGAAATTGGTGCATTTGTGGCATGACCCGTTCCGCGTCGCTGAACAGATTGGGGAATACGCGGTGAGGTTGAAGGTCGCAGGATCAACATACAGCATTTTCCCGGTAGTGCACGTTTCGAAGATCAAACTGGTCAAGATATTCCTAGATCGACCAGTAGCTCGTCTAGATGAGTCAGAAGCAGATCAAGTGGACTTCGATGAAGCTCTCCTACCTGAAGATAGCTGGATCCAAGATCGGGATCCAGATGAATACGAAGCGAAGCAAATTTCCGAATGAGGACTGGCAAGAAAACTAGATATGGCCGGATCCACCGGGAATTTCTAGTACACTGACGTGGATATGAAGATCCAACCTGGGTAGATGCGGCAGATCTCAACTGCGGTGCCCTTCTCTACGAGTTCTTGCGAGATCGCACTAATCGCAACCGTTTCGGTGTGATGCAGTCTCACGAGGAACTGTGACATCTGGATCCACACCGGTGAGTTGGTCACTAGTGTGGTTGAAAGTCGATAGATCTGCAAGGAGGTTGCAGATCGGAGGACATGGTTTATGTGAGCTTGTATATGATGACATGATGATGTAGGATCGGAGTGGAAAGAGATGAATTCTGAGATGGATATGGAGTTAGCGACAACGAATTTCGATTGTGGATCTAGAGCCGTATTATCTGAGAGATTATGGATCAAACGGCGAACGACAAGTGTGGAGGTGCTACGGTGGAAGCCTATGCAAATTAACGTGGCTAAAGACTTAGTGGTAACAAAAGACACTGACGAACGCAGATCTGAAAAGAAAATGACATGTATTACGATTAACGAAGATAATCTGGAAATAACGTAAAGAGAAGTGTCGGGATCATGGCTGAGAAGGAAGAGGCGGTGCGTTGGGGTTCAGAGCTGCCATGTTGAAAATTTTACCGGCGAGACGTGCGATCCGGCGAGCGGGATGGCCCGCATGGTGCAGTCGGTAGTGGGTACGCCATGGATCTGCGACGTCACACTCAGCGAGAGCCTCGATCAGATCAGCAGGCTCACGACGATTCAGTTGCGGATCTGCGAGGTTAGCACTGTGAGCCTGGATCCCGGGGTACCAAGCCACCTCGTCCGTACGCTTGGGAAAGTGAAGAAAATAAAGATCCAACAGCAGATCCAGATCACACCAGCCCTCGCGCATGGCGGTCAAGATTAGTTGCAGTATCTGTTTCCACCTAGTGCCAGCATGAGATCGACGGTTCTTCCTCTCCGTAACGAAGAGCGCCAAGTATGGGTGCTGCGGATCGACGCTGGCGAGACTGTAAAACGGTGTGTCGATTCCCAGTAGACGATCAGATCCTGGAACTCGACGACCGAATACCTCCCGATCAGAAATCCCAAGCGACCGTCGACTGTGATCTCGAACGACATAGGCTCAGGAATGTTGGCGCCAGTAAGCACATTCCAGGGAAGAACGGCCATGAGATCGCGACCGTTCTGACCTGTGATCAAGTGGCTGCAGTATTGATCTGGTTTTGGAGTAGTCGCTCGAGGCACGTGACTGGGGAAAATCCACTCAGGACGGAACGGCAACGCCCGCGACAAAGCTTCCAGGGTCATGGTCATGATCGTCAGGGTGTCGATCCGTTGGATCACCCATGGATCCACGTCAGCTATGTTGTACTGACGAGTCTGTTGGCGGCCAGGAATGCACACGTGATCAGGAGCAAAGTGACGTCGTGGAAGCATCGTCGAAACAAGAGGCATCGCAGCCGGATCCACAGGAGATCCGCCACCTCCGCCACCACTACTGCTACTCGAGCCTTCTCCATCAGAATCACCACCAGATCCAGGATCTCCCGCTCCTCCAGCCCCGGTGCGATGAGGAGCAGCATGATCACGGCGCCTCTGCTCGGATCTCGATCGAGAAAGAGCCATGAGCGTCTGAGTCTGCAACATGTCGTTTAGAGTCTCGTCGTCATCGCCGTCGGCCGAAGTGTCGGCTTCCGATTCTTGATCTTCTTCTTCCAGATCTACGTCCTTGGAGGGCTTAGGATCACCAGTCGACCGAGGTTTAGACTTGGACTTGGGCTTAGAGACTGGATCCGAACTTACTGGGATGTCAGGCTTCTTGGGTCCACCCTTCTCGTAAGATAAGTAGCGCGGCTCGGGGTCGGAACTGGACTCGCAGCCCCGCGATCCTTCGCCAACAGCTCGTCGAGTAAAGCGTGATCTAGATCCGATGGTTCTTCGACGTCCAAGCCTCCGCCCATGTCGTAGTCGTCTTGATCTTCCTCGCGATCTAGATCCTTCTTGTGATCCTCAGCCATCGGGACTTTTCTCTTTGAAGGACGATCTGCGTCGCAAGAAGGAGAGGGATCACGAGATCTCTTACTGGGAGGAAGATCTTGACGCTTGTCAGTGGAGGAAGATCCAACAGACCCGTTGGGTGTGGGTGTGTAGTCGGGATCTTGGTCGGGCCGATCTTGATCAGACTTGTCGAGTTCTGAGTTGCCTTGATCCGATATGTCTTGATCCGAGCTCTCTTGGCTTGGTTTGTCTTGATCCGACATACCCTGATCTCAATTTTCCAGGCTCTGTCTGTCTTGATCCGGGCTCTCTTGGCCCTGCTTCCCTTGATCCGGCTGCTCTTGATCTCTTGGAGGACTATCGAGACAGCGTTTGGTAGTGGGAGGGCCTGATCCCATCCCGGCAGCCACTGTGGACAACATCTCAAGCGCCTTCCGTAGTTCGCGCCGCAGATCCGTGCGCTCTCGATCAAGGAGGACCAGTCGACGATTCAACGTCAAGTTCTGGGCCTTTTGTTCCGTGATCGACCGCTCCGCGTCGGCATATGCGGGCTGAGCCACAGTGACATCATGCTCTGCAAGAAAGAAAAGGATGCTATATGAGCGAGATGGTGTGATCTAGATCAAGGAAAAGGAGACGTACTCAGATCCTCGCCCGCGTCGCAATATCCCTTCTCGCGCTTGACCGCGCCAGCAAGATTGACGCGCATGACCTCACAGCGTGATTTCGCCCGTTTGAACTCCATAGTTCGCTCTTGGATCTGACCCCGAAGTGCATCCGCCTCACGTTCCATAGTCTGGACTTTCACATTCAACGCATCGCGCTCAGCCGAAACTTGATCGAATCGATCATGGAGCGCTACACGTTCCGCTATCTGCCGATCCAGCTTGGCTTGAAGGTCCGACGACGACGGGCCTGGCGAGGCTATGGCCGCGACTTGGTGTGCGATCAGCAGATCTGCTTCGGCCCGATCCAAGGCCTGACATGTGTGGCGCAGCACTCCTTCAGTGACTTGTAGCTGGTTGGTGGCTTGATCACGGGCGCGATCCGCCGTGTTGCGCTGCTCCTGCAGATCCAGGATCTCTGCGCTAGCGTGTTCACGTTCCTGCAGAAATCGAGTAACTTGAGACTCCAGATCCGCAACTTGTCGCTCGAGGGTGTGAACGTGGGCGGTGGATGCGTGCGGATCATGGACCACTTGGGCGCTGGAGTCAACACAGCTTGCTGTGCATCTCGATCCGCTCGAAGACGGTTGATCGACTGCTGCATGAAGGAGATCGCTCGATCCTGCTCGTGAATGTAGTCGCGAAGATCATCCAGCCGATCCTGGTGCTCTACTGATGGCGGCTCCGAGCCGCGGGGCAGGGGTTGGAATGCCAGAGCTGCCGTGAGCTCGCCCTCACGACGGAGGAGGCGCGTGGCGTAGCGGTGGAGCTCGTCGCGCGTGGCGTGAGGATCGAAGGCGGATCCTGGCGATCCACCACTCGAGGATCCACTGGGGCTTGGGGCGTTGGACATAACGACGAAAGTGGAGATCTGCGGCGAGTGGAGAATAAGAAGAAGTTTCTGCAGTGATCCTGTTCGGCAGCAACGACTACAGACAGGAGACGATTATGGTGAAGTGGATTCCGAGAAATTACGGACAGGAAGTGATCGGATCATGTGAAGTGACGGGTATGCCGGGATCGGAAGGGACTACGGTGGATCCAGATCTGAGAATGTCTGATGGACTCAGATCAACTGATTCTGAGGTGACTGGATCAATCTGGGAGGACCTATTTATAGGTGCCTGATCTGGATATAATTATGCCTGATCCAGACATGATTACCCAAGGCGGATCAGGATCAAGTAAACAAGGTAAGCATTCGGCGGTATACAGCCAAGCAGATGGTGGGAAGGAAATATGTGGATCCAGATAGTAGAGGATGAGACAAATCAGGATCAAGCACTTAGGAATAACAGAGAATCGAATTTGCATCATTGGGCATAAGTGATTGATTACTTTGTTTGACCCACACTTAGTGCATTACGGGCATCTCGGGTCAAGGCTCATACTGGTTATACAAGGTGATCTCGTATTAAGAATATT